AGCCGAAAGCGCTTTGCATTAATAAAAAAGTTTTGCACGAAATACAAGTTTTTCCTTTTTGAATCCTAAATTATTTACAATTTACATATTTTTGTGCAAAAAAAGGAGACTAGATACTCTTTCTGATTTTAACAGAGTTGTTCTTTAACTAAGAATCTGCCCAGCATTAGAAAAAACTATCTCGCAAAGCAAAGAGATAGGCAATAATCAAAATTAAAAAAAGGTCATATGATTGATTCATAAGAAACTTGTGTATCTATAACGTTTTCGTTCGGTTCAAATAGTTCAATTAGTTCATTAAAGAGATATGCTTCTTTGAACTAGTTCGTTCGTGAACACCCAACTACCGCGTTCAATGTAAGGTGACTATTTTTTATGTAAATATTCTTCATTATTTTATCATACTGTTACGCTGGTTTTTGGTATCACAATTTATTTTAACTAAACTTTAACAACAATTATACAACTGATACAATAACTTCAACTATTAACATTAACGTTTAACGTCTATCATAAGACTGCCCCTATGACGTCAGGTCGTCGCCTTATATAGCTTGCCTCCCCTTCTGGAAACTTCTTGAACAATCTGGACTTTTCTTTGACAAGGAATGACAGTTCGAGACTTTTCGGGAATATTCTATCTTCTTCATTTACTCGTACCTTTACTTATGATGACCGCAGCACGATACAGGGTGCCGCGTAACAATACATAAAAATAACAGTTTGTAAGCCAAAAATTGTCTGACATCGAGTATTAAAGTATCAAATAAATTTGTCGTAAAATGCCAGGTCATTCGATTTCTCAGATTAACCGGACAATAATAGTGGCCTTACATCAAGAGGGTTTATTAAGTAACCAGATTGCGGGTCATCTGAATATTTCACGGACTTCGGTAAGCCGCATGGTGGCCATTTTCCATGACAGGGGCAGTGCTGTGTGAAAGCTGGGACTGGTCGACCCAGAGTAATATAGGAGAGAGAAAGCCAGTATGTAGCAAATTTTACCCGAAGGAACCGAAATATAACGGTAACAGCTCTTCGAAATCATTTTTTGCGAACATAGCGGAGGGCAGTTTCGAGAAGTACCATAAGAAGTTGATTGAATTTCTCAAATATAAGAACAAGAAGACCTTTAAAAGTGCTTAAGCTTTTACATCGACACAGAGCTGCACGTTGCCAATGGGCTCAAGAACACAGGAACTGATTTTTACCACAATGGCGCAACGTTCTTTTTGGTCTACGATTTGGTCTACAGAGTAATAGTCGGCGGGAAAGGGCCTGGAGGGGTCTAGGCAGACAGGAACGCAAGAGATGTTGTTCTCTATCAAGGCGGATCAGTGGTGTTTTAGAGGGTATAATGTTTGGTCACCGCACCCCACTTACTTTAATTAAGATAACTACGAAAGGTACGATATACCCTGAAAATATTACTAAACAAATCATTTAGCCTTTGCGCACCGAATTTGGGTACAATTTCATTTTTCAAGACGATAATATCAGACCGCATCGCACGCAAAGGGTACAACACGTGCTATAGGAAGGAAATATCCAAAGAATGAATGGCCGCCAAACTCACTAGAAATGAATCCCATTGAATATTTATGAGATTATCTTAGCAAGGCAATATTCGATCGCCAAATCCCCCTTTAGCCTTTAACCCGTAACTGCTACCCACGGGTCTTCTGGACCCATCAATTGGTAAATGTATATAGAATAAGCTGTTCGCGCAATCGTAAACAGCCAGACTATTAGGTATTCTCTTGTTTAGTTGCATTTGAGCTCTCGAGGTGTGCATAAGCAATATCGTTCATATTTACACCGATTGTGGTCGTTTTTGGGTCCTCGGGACCCGTGCGTTGAAAATACATTATTCGTTTGATATCCATAGCAATGAACAATATCGGCGCAACGAGGTAAATATATTAACTTTTGTGTAATGTGGATTGCTTTGTAATTACATGTACTATATAGCCGGCCCCAGACAATGCGTGTAATTGGCGAATATTCGGCATACGCAGTCCTCCGCGTAGTGTGTGGGAGCTCAACTGCGCCTATTCTTCGGCATTCGCTTGCTATCCGTAGTCTTGTCGGTAAAACGGCACGCAGCAAAGGAAGACGAAGTGCCTTCGCGCTCATTCGCGTTAGCTCCCAGACAGTATGCTCAACTACGCCTAGTTGATTGCCTATTCTGTCTTTAGTCAGAGTCGCGCCAAGTTTAGCGACGTGTTGTATTATTTATTTCGTTATTAAAATTACCATACAGGCTGCAACTGCAGCCGCTTGCTTATCGTCACTATCCACTGCTCTCCGCTACCACAGTTTATTGCTAAAGAATCAGTTAGCTCACTTGGACCAGTTCAATGTTCCAAAATAACATCCACTCCAGGGATACAAATTTAGGATGCGCAGAAGACTGCTGTTTGAATATAGTAGGCGGTTGTCATATATTGTATTGGTTATGATTTGATTCTGTATGCGCCAGGGATACAAATCCGAATTGCGCAGTGTATAAACTGGAACATTGAGATCAAAAGTGTCGACGCAGAGTGAGCGAACTGATTCTTTAGGTATAAACTGTGCCGCTACTGTTCTATACTGAGGCCCTGCGACAAACGTTTGTCAACATCAGAACATTTTCCAAATGCCGCAGTGTGTGGGAGGGTAACCGAAGGCATGCCGAAGGCGCAGTACGAAGGCACATTCGCCGAATACACGCACTGTCTGGGGCCGGCTTTAGAATGATGAATTTTGGGAAGATGTAGAAAATGAAGAAGGGTGTTCTTCTAATAATGAAAAGGTGTTGCATGCTGCTGAAGGACATTCGTCCAATTATGAAGAACGGTTGCATGCTGCTGAACAAATTTTGGACTATAAAGAGGGCAGTGATATTTCAGAATCAGATTGTGAGGAAATAAGTTGTCGCGATTCTGACGAATTGGAGTGAAAACCTTCAAATGATGATTACGATTCTTCTGAGCTTTATGACGAGACAGACACTGAAGCTGAATTACTACAGGAGGTTTAAATTGAAGCTCAGGAACCACAGGAAGTTTAAATTAACAATCAAGAACAACATGGGTTACAAAAGCGTGACCATCAAGCATTTTATGGAAAAGATCGCACAAAATGGTAAAAAATTCCAAAAACAAGAGGTAGAACTACAGCTTAAAATATCGTTGTTACATTGCCTGGTTTAAAAGGAACAGCAAGATAAAATTCTCTTTCATCTGTCATACAATCATGGAATATAATATTTACTGAAGATATGTTCGAAATGATTGTTCTAAACACAAACAGTAAGATAGAAAATGTGCAAGCTCGTTACAGTACATTTAAAAAACGTACAAATTCTCGGCAGCTGTTCAAGCCATTTATATCGAAAACAACGAAAACTGAGATAAAATCGTTTATTGGTCCTATGTACTTGTCAGTATTGTTCAAATCAGGCCACGAAGACTTCAAAGGAACGTGGGCAACGGATGGTACGGGAAGAGAAATTTTTCGCTGCACGATGTCTCTAGCAAGATTCCTATTTTTATTGAGCTGCTTACGTTTTTATGATGAACAAACAAGAGGGGAGAGGATAAGGGTTAACAAATTTGCACTAATTTCTGAGCTCTTCAGCAAATTTGTAAAAAATTCTAAGAATAATTTTAAACCCAGGGTAAATGTTACTATTGTACCATTTAGAGGGCGATGTGGTTTTAGGATGTATATACCTAATAAACCTGCTAAATATGGTTTGAAAATACAAATTATGGCAGACTCAAAGACACATTACATGGTAAATTCAGAACCATATACAGGTGCAGCTGTTGTTAGAACTAAAAAAAATGAATTTGGCGATGCAACAAAAGTTGTACTTAGATTAATACAACCAATAATTAATACTGGTAGAAATGTTACAACATATAATTGGTATACATCTTTTGAACTTGCAAATGAACTAATAAAGCAAAAGTTAACTCTTGTTGGAACTGTGAACTAGAGAAAAACATTAATTCCACCTGAATTTTTACCTCAAAAGAAAAGAGAAGAGAAGGAATCCATTTTTGGTTTTCAGTCAGAATTGACATTGGTATCTTACGTACCAAAGCGAAATAAATCCGTAGAATTGCTTTCTAGTACAAACAATGATAAAGTAGTTGATGAGGAAACTAAGAAACCTAATATAATTCTGTTTTATAATAGCACAAAGGCAGGTGCACGCTCGATCAAAAATGTGCGAATTACTCGACAATCCCATATGCTTACAATGTGCAAAAAAGTATGTGCCAATTGTTTGTAAGGTAAATTTCGTTTAGTTTATACTTAATAATGTTCATGAGGATATGTATTTTAATATTTCAATATACTTTTGTTTATATTCATATTTTTATTTAGTCCTTTTTTAATGGGTCCCTAGGACCCAGTTGTACTACTTGCGTAACTTATATTTGTGGGTAGCAGTTATGGGTTAAGGACTTGATTGTAGCTGTTTAAGAAGGAAACAATAGGCCTGAGAATTTTATTGATGACCTGATCCGCGGCATGCCGCGACACGTTGGCCAATTGATTAAAAGTAGAGGCCATAATACACTCTTAAGTTATGTTTTTGGTATGATATAACATTTTCTTACTTACAATTTTTGGACTTTTTTTTTGTAACTAATTTCCTTTATTCTGCATTATTCGGAAAGCAAATTACAAAGATTGGGTATCCCATAGTTTGGTTTTAAAACAAAGAACAAGATTTACCATATTTTCCAAATTTTATTTGATTATTTTTAAAAATACGCAGGGGGCCAAGACTTTTGGAGATGTGTGTAGTTTTTGAGAAATGGGCGAACTCTTTAGAAAATCTTTAATAGTATTTAAAATTGAAATAAAAAAATAACAGTTAATAAATATTTCCGCAACAAATTCAAGGACATTTGAGTTCGTGATTGTGACCTTGCTATCTTTTGCAAGCAAGATTATTTATTTTTATTAAATCGATAAGGACTCAAAATAAACATTCACCGAAAATTGAGAACCATTGGCAAACAAATATTTAATCCGCGGAACAGATAAAGATTTTTTGGGCAAATTCAACACCGTTACTTATAAAAAGTGTGTTAGTTGGATTATTTACGCTTGAGATAATTATTTAATCATCTTAAACTCCAATACGGTAAAACACTGATTCACAAAATGAGACATCGTACTTAGTACGTACTAAACTAGGATTCGTAAATTAAATCATAAAAGTGGAAATTCAAGAGCTGACTATCGCGTCATTGTTGTTGTAGAATTTAAAGAAGTGGGAGCACGCAGTCCATCAACGCAAAACGTAACTGACTTCTTTGTCAGTATTTCAACTCGCGTTGATAACAAGTAGTTAAAAGGTAACCGGTAATTTGTTCGCATACCATTTGTTTACTATTAGTTTACTATTAGAAATGTTGACTCTAGACGATGATTTTGAATTAAAACTACCTCCAAAACTCAGAGATGAATTAAATAGTGTAGAATTTAATTTCACGAAAATATTTATCGAACAGTCTGAAGAAGGAGCTAAACTTAATGTTCCTGATCAGGAATATGAACAGTTTTTAGCCGATGTTTGGGTAGGAATTGTTTTAACACTGATGGTACTTAGTTGTGTTTGTTTTATGTGCTCCTGCTTGATTTATCACAAATTTCAACAGTGGAAAACCAGGGGTAAGTTCTAAAACTATCATTTTTTCAATTCTGATTAGGTATAGAAATTGAAACTGTTCGAGAAGAGGTAAATTTAAGTTATACTCAAATTTACCTAATTAATAATTTAAAATATTCGCACTTTAAATTTGACACTGAGTCCCACTTAAAAGGTCCATGTCTTGGAATCTGAAGAAAAACCTAAAAATCGCATCTCTATTCTCTACCTTCAATAGAGAAATAGTATCGCACGCTGCCGGTATTTTGTGTAGCTTTTTCACCGCTTGTGTGACCGGTCAACGAATAAAGAAATGTCAAGGTAAGGTGTCAAAAATACGTTGTTTATTCACTCAATTTTTATATCGTATAAAATAAATATATCGTTTAAAATAGGAATCAGCCTTTTTGGCAGCCTAGCACCCATTCTGTCACCACAAACATTTCAACGTTTAACGCAGGGTTGATTGACATTATGACTAAAACATGATTCACTTTTTAACCGACTTCAAAGAAGGAGGAGGTGTTCAATTTGTCTGAACATTTTTCTTTATGTATGTTCAAAGATAATTCTTTACCACGTTGTCTGTTTTATATAATTATTTTTTTGTTACAAAGAGGGTACCTGAGGGTTGGTCTCATATAAATTTGGTCAAGATTTAAAAGTAACGTCCATGAGAAAATCGTCAAACTCTTATTTTTTCAAATGTTCACCGATAATTCTTTAGGACGTTGTCCGATTTCTATTACTTTTTTTGTTAGAAGGGGAGTATCTCAGGGGTGGTCCCATACATATTTGATCGGATGATGATATCTATAATAAAATCAGTAAACACAGTTTGGTAATGGCATTTGCACGATTTTGGAGACGTTTTTTTTTAAATTACTTTTAATATTTCACTTTCATGTCCGTTTGAAAAACATTTTTATATTATTTGATTTCACTATTAAATTACATACCTAAGTATATTATAGTCGTTGTATTGAATAGTATTTTGGTTTTATAAAGTAAATTCATTTAGTCTTTATAACGACGAAAACTAAGTAATAATTTAGTAAAATGAACTCTAAATTATAAATAAACTAAATAGTTGAAAAAATTGACATAATGTATATTTAAGTAAGCTCTACGTAGGACAGGAGTGAATAATTGGCAAGGAAAGTACGGGGTAGGGAAAAATTAAAGGATATTGCAAAGAGTATTATCTAGGAGAATAATAGGATTGGTCCACTCAAAATTTGAATCTTGAGAGCAAACAGCGTCTTAGCTCCACTAGGGACGTTTTTGACCACTATATATACCTATAGAATAGTACCAAGTTGCATGTCGTGTTTTTGCTTGCTATTTGTAGTTAAGTACAGGGGAAGGGGATAAACAACATTTACTATATCCCGATGGTGGGAGCCGTCGTGTAACCTGTCAAATTCAAAATGAATCATATCGATGTAATTTTTCGTTTTTGCTTGCAAATAAATAAATTGCTTCTATAACAATAAAAAAATCCCTTTGCAAGCTTTTTTTTCAGTTCAGTTTTGCTACTCCCGGGACAGGAAATCCTTGTTATTGGATCTTTATATTATTATAGACGTTTAGAAGCATCGATAAGAAACTAATTTGAATTTGACAGGTTACACGTCAGCCCCCACCACCAGGATATAGTACATGTTGTTCACCCCCTTACCTGTATTTAACTACAAATAGCAAGAAAAAACATGACATGCCACTTTTTGCAGACAAATGAGGGACTAGAAGGAATGTAATACAATTATAATCTGATTGACCTTTTTTAAAATTATTATAATAAGAGGATACAAATAACTCGAAAAAATGCTGTTTAAGCATTAACCATCGTAAAATCATGTTGTGATTTTAAATAGTCAATGTAATATTTACGTTATACTCACAACACTCTCTCTCCCCTCTTGAGATATTCACAAACATAATTATAAACTAAATCGTAAGATTAAATTAAACTCCGATCGTCCGATCCTAGAGCTATTCTGTAGGATGTCTTACTACTGGATCCTATGTTTATCTAAAGTTACAAAAAAAGAAAAAATATCTTTGAACAAAATTATACTTGTAAGAATCGCTAATGTAAATAAAAAATTTGATGTCTTGTGCTAAAACAAATAATAACGACAACATTTGTAATTTTTCTATTAATATTAACAATAATAATAAGGGTGCTGGGTGGGTTAAACAACGTCAGTATTTATATTATAAAATATTGTTAGAGCAAGGAAAATTATTAGAAATGATTTACTAGTCCATTTGACAACAAATAATGTGATAGTTAACTTTTTGTGCGACTCGGCAACAGCGTAAAACGTATGAGTAGCACCTCTGAGCTTTAATTTGGGACATTTTGTAAAATAAATATTTTATAAAATTAATTAGCACAAGATATAGAACTAAGTTTTTGTTTACACATAAACGTATATACTTAGTTTTTTTATAAGCCAAAAGAGGTCAAACTAGATAATGACCATATCTTTTGTAATAAAAAATATGTGTCCATATTATGAGAGATCTGTTTACTATTGAATATTTTACGATCTGACGTATTAGTTTTTCCATAATATTAAAATATCGTCACATAGCCATTAGGTATACAACTAAATGATTCAGACATTCACCGATTTTGTTTTAAAACCTTGATGAATTTTTGATAAATGGTTTAAAATCTTCAATTATATAAACACTTAATAAATACGTGGAGCACTGCTAAAATTCATATAAAATTTAGAACAAAACAGAAATTACGTTATATAAATAGTTTTATTAGTTTTTAGATATTCTCCTTTAAATCTATACACTTTTGCATCCGATGAAACCAATCTTTAAAACACTTTTCTTCTACGACCACTCAAGGCTATGAAAAACCTTCGCACCCATTTTACTTTTGATATGTTGGAATGAGCAAATATTAAGCAAATAATGAGTCATTAATTGGATGTTGTACTGGTCAAAAGCTCGACAGTTCATTATGCTGTGTGAGCGCTTAAATTTTCATCAATTTACATTGTCTTTTTTATTTCATCGATCTATCTATCTATCTATCCTCTAATTAGGGTATAATGCAACAGTTGCAACATCCTCTGTTTTTCAGAAGAGCAATCATTTTTGTTGAAACGTTTCAGGAACGCACCACTTTTGTTGGTTCATTTTGAGACCATTTGTAAACCATAGTTTTGGTTAAGTGCTTCGAAATTAATTTAATTTAATTTAATAATTAATTTCTCCTAAAACTAAACTGTCTGTAATGAGCATTGCATGTATACTCTGTATACGAGTTGAGCAGTATATAATCGTAGAAAATGGTGGAGTATCTAGACCCGAACGTTTTGAAATCGACTATTTCCAAAAATTTCTGAAGCTGAATGGTTACCTTGGATTCAAACACTCCAGATTTATATAGAAGCTCACAAAACTAAAACTGCTAACTAATTATATATTCTCTCTCAAGTGTTCTCAGTGATTAATGAAATTGAGGACTACAGAACAGCTATTATAAAAGTTTTGGAAAATACTTGCGTAGAACGCGAAAGTATCTTGTTTGCTAGACACTGCTTTGCTACTTAACAGAAGGCCAGTGACAATGTCCATATGTCTTCACAGACACTATATCACTTTTCAAATGATTGTGATTTTAAAGCCTTTACTGCAGAACAGAATCAAATTAAGAATGTTAGAAATGCTTTTATATTCGGGCTTTCTTTGTGCACAATTTCTAGAAATGGCTCATAAATATTCCGAGCAAATTTTACAAAAATTATTTAAATTCAACTATTACTAAGTCGAAAATCAACCCAGTGATATCTGAAATCTTAGTACAGAAATAAATCCAAGTTGCTTCGCAGCTTCTTCGAAGGTGGTCTCATTTAAATATAATTTCCGAAGGTGTTTTGTGGTAATAAACCTTGTTCTCGAATGTGCAGCTTCGGTCAAAAATACATTACTAGGGTGTAAGGATATACACATTACTTCTTTCAATTTGTTTTAAAATGTGGAATTCAGTATACCAAAGAAGGCACCATAAGACTATTTTTATACTCCAATCAAAAATTGTTATCTCTTTGTTTTTTACAAAAATCAAGGTGCTTTGCTAGGCTTCGACCAAATGCTGACGTGAAATCAACATCTCAAAAAAATCACATACAAAGCTATAATAGCTCTGGTAAGATGTAGAAGAATATGTGGTTCTAGGCTCCAAAATAACCATATATACAAGCGTGATAAGACCATGAAAACCTATGGCGCAGTGGCGTGGGTAACCAAAACTGTGCAGGAAAGTATAATAGGCCAACTCATCAGCATTCAACGGCTCGACTGCCTGAGTGCCACTTGGGCCATGCGTACTGGGCCAATCTACAGCGCAATGGAGGTATTATTAAACCTCACGCCACTGCACATCTTCATACAAGGAGAAACCAGGTTCGTTATTCACAGGCTAATGCAGGGACAAAATCCAATAATTTAACTACATGGCGCTGACCATGCAAGACTATACATGTCTACTGATATAGCCACAATCACATACAAATTTAAAATAAATTTTCAAATTCAATTACCAGCCCGAAACAGTTAGACACAGGGACTTTTCATATAGGTTGAATTCGTCTGGTATACAGACGGTTCAAAACCAATGTTGAAATCTTTGGACCCAAGTCGAAAACAACGATTTCGTCGAGTCTAGAAGAAAATGCAATCGTGTTCCATGCTGAACTAATAGCCATACAACACTGTGCAAGAGAAATAATAAATAATACAAAATTATGCCATCTACTCTGATAGCCAAACAGCAATAAAAGCAATTTTCTCACAAGAAATCAAATCACGACTGGTGAAAAAAAACCTGGTAGAGCTAAGTAGTTAAAACAAGGTGACCCTAGAGAGGGATATCAGGTCAACGAAAAGGCCGACGAGCTTGCCCGAGAAGACTTAGATAAGGCCATGACAGGCTCCAAACCCTTCTGTGGAGTTGTTAAAATATTGAGCAAGGCATCCATCAAACAATGGA